AATAAAAGAATATAAAAAATAAACTTCACCAAATATTAAATCGACAAATCGATACGACTCGTGCCATTCTTTGCAAATTTTACAATAATTATCGATTTACGGTATTGTGTTTATTTTGCTGACGTTTCGTATTGGTATTAGCCTGCAAAAACCGCAACTAAATATTGATTTAAAGCTTGTTCGTGTTCTATTTTCGAAGTTTTTATACTCCTGCCAGATCACTCGGGACAAATCCTGTTATTCCGAGCTTCTCCCTGTTCCCTCATCGACGACACTCGTCGAGATCGGTAGGCGGGGAAACTCGGCAAAAACTCGACGCAGCTAATCCCCGACCAATTGTAATTTCCATTCGCAATTTAATCGCTCTCTTCGTCATTGAGTTCGCCGCTCCATCGCGTCGATAGCTGCAAAAGAGCACTGAGAGGCGCCTCGCGATTGAAGTGTGAGTTACGTTGGAGTAACTGACGGCTGTCAGTCCACAGAGTAGACTCGCGGTTCTCGAATGCATTAATCATGAGAGCGGCCGGGCGGATTCCCGCAAGCTCCCGGTGAGCGCCTAATGAAGCGCTGCACCCCATACGGATCCTGGCTGCAATTGGCTGACAGATCGGTGCACCCAAATGGCGAGCATCCCTGACTCCGCGGTCGTACCCAAGTGCATGCCGAGCCTGTCATTGTGCGTCCAAACTAATAATGCGAGCCGTGGCTTCTCTCAAACGCACCTGCATGCTTTGCCGGCCCATTATGAAAACAAAAAAATAAAAAAAAAAACAAAAAAAAACAAAAACAAAAAACAAAAAAACCAAAAAAAAATGGGAAAGAAAGAAAAAAGAAGAAAATACAAGGGAATCGGTCGTGCAAGGCGTAAACGCGCGATCGCACGAACTACGAGGACACGTGCCGCTCGTAAATAATGCAGCCAGCAGCCGCTTTATACAAGTATAGCCACGACGACGGATCGCCCCAGCTATCCCTCCATTACCCATATCCGAGGGACCTACGTCTGCCACCTGCTCGTAAATCCTCTGGCTCTATCAAATTAAACTCAGCTCGGCTGCTCACTCCTTCGTTTCCATTGTCAGCCTCATCGGCTGGCCCCTCCCCCTCCAACGCATCCCCCCACCGTCCACCCCCCAAACGCATACACGCGCGTACCCACGTACGAGCACGCCTGCACGCGCAAAATACCTTGCCGGAAATGTAATGGATGTACGTAGACAGTTTGACAATGCAACAAGCGAGAAAGAAAAATCGGTACGATCGCTGTTTACAGTGGGTCGCTTGTAAAGTTTTATGTCACAACAACAACCGGCAATCGCGTACTGCGGATATTTATGGAGGTGCGAAACGTTTATGTCATTCGCCGACGACATTTCGTTAAAGCAGACACTACTCGCACCTCACGACTTCACGCGGCACTTTTATCTTTATTATTCGTATGAGAAAATGTTTCGATGAATTTTTACAAGCGCACAATAAAAAACGGGAGGCGATGAGGCCGTGTGTCATCGCGCAATAGCGCGACTGCATTACATAAATAAAAAGAAACGAAAGGAGACAAGAACAAACAAAACACAAGCAAAAAAAAAAAAAATACAAAAAAAAATGACAGGACGAGCTGGTACAAATCAACATCTCGATGACGAACGACATAAAAAAATCAAAGGACGAATAATTTGAAAAATTCGTGGAAGTATGACGCATAGCTGACACCCGAAATCTTCCAATCAATCGCTATTAAAATGGATCTCATGGCAGTGTTGTCCGCGTCCGAATATAAATTTCATTGCACGCTTTATCAAACAAAACTTTCTGCTATCAACAGAAACTTTCTGCAATGACCACTTGGTAAAGAGCAAGGAGAAAAGCAAAGTCGAATAATCGAAAAGTGAGCCGAAAGGCAGATGAGAAATGATCCGCAAGTAGTAAAATATAGCCGAAAAGTTCAAGGGAATAGGGCCGACGAAGATTGGGTAGGGCAGAGGGAAAGACGAAAAAGCAAGTGGTTGGTGATGTGGAAACAATCGGTATGGTGAATAAACGCTTTCTTCGTATATCGAGCTTCGTAATAGCCAAGAGGATGCACCACGAACCCGAGAATCCTTCGTACATATTTTTTTTTCCTCCCTCTTAGTCTTGCTATTTAGACCCCCGGCGTATATCGCATCCAGGCATCAAGCATCAAGTGGCTCAAGATCGCCACATTCTTTTTTTCAGCGCGTGCAAAATGCCGTAGCGTCGCCACGCCCATAATCAAAAGTTTCGCGAAGCCGTCACGCCCATAATCAAAAGTTTCGCGAAGCCGTAGTTCCTCTCTCTCTCTCTCTCTCTCTCTCTCTCTCTCTCTCTCTCTCTCTGTATTTATTTATTTTTTCCTCGTATACCGTTATTTGTTTGGAGGATAGCCAGAGGTGAAGGCACCGAGGGTCGGGCGAACAAGGCCCGGGAATAAAGGTATTTTCTAGCACTCGAAAATATTCGGTGGGAGGAGAAAGGAGTCGCGATCGCGAGGTCTCGTGAAGGGAAATCGACGGAAGCGACGGAAAAGCCTCGCAGATACACAGATACAGATGCAAGGGAAGATCCAAGATCGAGCCTCGGCGTCCGCACGAGCAATCGAGGAAACTCGCGACACCCATCATCCTTCCATAACGAATTTTCCAAGTATTGGTCGGAGAGTCTTGCATTCAATATTCGCTCGAAGCTCGGCTCTCTATTTTCTATCGCGAGCGGAACCCAATCCCACCCCCTCCTTCATTTGGCTTGTTAAAGCCTCATTCACCGACCGCTGGATTAATTAATGCAGACCTTGCGCGAGACTGCCTGCTTTTTTACTTTTTACTTTTGGAAAGCTTCGGTCTTTCTTGCCAATGGCCATGCGTCAAAAAACTTACTTTTGACATTCGCGAAAAGTTCGATTTTCTATCCAGCAGCAGTTTTTTCTTTCTCTTAGTCGCGTTTTCCGAACAGAGTCGAGAATTTCATTAAATATAGTTTAAAAAATCTATCTTATCGTTAATGAAAAATTACAATCTTAGTAAGTATTATATATTTAATTTATATTGAGCCTACAGGAAAGTCTTGTAATTACTGAATTTGCTTCAAATTGCCTTATCGAGTCTATTCCATTCAACTTAATAATAAATCAGATATATTTTACAACTCTATATTTTTTCCTATTAATTCTAAACTAAATATTGGGTAATATAATACTTAGTTATTTTAATTTATTAAAGTTGTAACGAATTAATAAATAATTACTTGGCGCTGCTCAAGGTAAATTATATTTTTCCTGTTTGCTCCATTTACATTCCAAGTTTTTGCCCCAACGTCTTTACATTATATTAACACACAAAATACGATTACAAGCATATAAAACTTTCACTCCAAATTTTTCCTCGTAGAGTTTCATTATTGTAATATTGCTTAGAAATTAGTTACAAACAGGCTTTAACGTTAATTTAATAAGACTTATGGCATTAATTGAATTTTACGAATATCACCCTATTAAAGAAATACTTTTATTCAACCCACGATAATGACTCGAATATACACGCTAAGATATCTTCATCGCTTATTATAATTATAATACAATAATAAAAAATATTTATTATTATGGTAATATTGAGAATAAAAAAGCATAAATATGTAAACGTAAAAGTCCTTCTATTCTACTCGTTGAAACTCAATTATATTATTCTATTATTATTCATTTAAATGACTCATGTTTTTATAATTGTTTATCCTATACATTCTGAGTGTTAAAAAGCAATAAATTAAGAGTAATGCTGAGGCAAATCATAAGTCCAGAATATTTATTTCGTATTTCATATATCTATTACAATAATTACTATTAAAATTCTTATTGAATAAATCTTATGAATATTGACATTAATATTAATATACCATTAATATACGAATTATGTATGTACTTTATCCAAAAAGAGAATTCGATATCGATTTTATGCCTATTAATGATTGAAGCGGAAAGTTGATTTTAAATATTTTACATGGGCTTTTTCGGCCAAAATCTCAATTTCATAATATAAGCAAAAATAATATTCTCATTACGACTACGATGCATTTCGTAATACATCGAGGCAGACTGAAAATTAAAAAATGCCATCTTTTATATATCTGAATAAACAATTCAATAGGACGAAACAACAACCATTATATTATGCATAATAACTTTTTTTTAATACCAACGAACGGACTGTTTAAAAAAAAAAATAGTTAAAAAATATTATTGTTAATGAGAGAGCACTTACGGTTTATTTTTAAATTTAAAATATTGCATTCAATTATTATTAAAGACGCTCTTTTCTGATAATATGAGTAGCGATAATTCTCATATGGGCACTGAATCAAATAATTTTCTCACGAAAAATACTTTTCATACATTGTAAATCTTTATTTTGATTTTAAGAAAAAATGAAAATTAATGACAATATAAATCAAACGGATAATGATCTGATAATCTAACGAATTATTTATAACGAATGATATTTACTTTAATTACACATTATCGATCGACATATATATTCCGAAGAAAACTATTTAATCCCTTTTAGTCTTTAGTAGTATTTCAAAATTTATGTTTTAAATTTCTTAAATATTAATTAGAGTTTTGATAATAAAGAAAAAAGAGAAGTTAATTATGACGAGCGGACAATTGTACGAAATGCGAAAAAAGTCTTTTTAAAAATAAAGTTGAAAAAAATAAGGAATTAATATAAAAAAAAAATGAAAATCTGAACGAAAATCCAACATAAATTTTAAAAAACACGAGCTTACAACTAAAATCATTATCCATGTATAATTTATACTTCGGTCAAGTATTTTAAAAATTTCGATCTTACACAAGTATCTTGCAATTTTTTTTTATCGTAAACCATAACGAAAATATTGAAAAAGTATATGAAAAAAATTCAATAACATATTTTATTAAACCTAGACTCACACGTCCTGAAGTATTTCAAAATGAATAATGTCCTTACCCCACCTGGAATAAGAAAAAATCAAAATTAGATTTATCATTATGAGTAGACACGTGAATAGAAAATTGAAATATTCATAATATATTAAGTCATGAATAGGTTATTGAATTAACGTTGATTAATTTTCACGTTTCTCCTTGCTTTCCTACCATATTTAATGAAACACATAATCGATGCGACGGCAAAGAATTTTTTACTACATAGGTATATAAATATTATCGTGAAACACTGGTAAGGAGACTAATTGTATCATCATTGTTGAATGCGCAGGTAGGGAAAATAATTATGACTTAAGGAAAGATTCGACTCGCGACAGCATAGGCTCGGAGCATAAAACTGCAGACTTAAGGCGTAGAGATCCTTTTCGCGAGGCCAGGCCGCTCAGTCGCGTCTTTTGTTTCTCGTGCACAAACCCGATATAATCTGTCTCGCGAACGGAATTCTTCCTTATTCTCGGCGGCGGTCGAGCTCATCGAGGCAACCCACAGACGCGATCTTTCTTCGGCAGGTCGGGAGAAATCGTCCTGAAAAAGCGACTACTCCTACAAAACTAGTTCGTCGAGTGCCATGCTTCGACCGTGTTTCCGAATCTGTGATATCTTTGAAAATACCAATGATTTCCGCTCGAGCAGCTCAGCATCCCAGAGCATCGACGAGCAATCATTTAAAATAATAAAACGCTATCGCTCGCCGGGGCATTGATGCCATTCCGAGGATCCCGCACGATGCAAGTGCCACTGGCAGCACGGCCGAAGCGACTTTTTCTACAACGGTGGAGCCGACAGCCCGAAGAAGAAGCGAGGATATCGGTTCGACGAGAAGTCCGGGATATCCGGGGTGCGGCCTATAAACATTCTGTCACTTTGCCCGAGTGGCAGACAGCGGTACTCGTGATCTCGCGCTGTCGCCCCAACGGTACTGGACGGGCAACGAAAGAAAAAAAGAAAGGAAGAAGAAAAAAAAGGAACGATCGCGCGACACAAGCAGGATTCCTTAACGACGTTTTACGAGTGGGGATTTGTCGGCTCGCGAGCAACGCGAACTGACACTCATTCTTATGTCTTCGGTACGTAAGGGCGCACCACCACTACCCCCCCCCGCCCTCATAAATCGTAGACACGTCGTGGAGAGAATTTCGTATTTCGGCCCAACTTTTTAATCCCTCGAGGGCGGAGCTAATCGGTTGGAACCAGTCCCAACTTGCTGGAAGGAAATTCAACTTTCATGGGTGCGCACGCACACGCTGACACAATGACGAATCGCTTGGATTGGGGAGTGTCTATTATCTCGAAGCTTTTCTCTAGCGCGAATGCCGCGTGTCTTTCTGGCTTTCCGCAACACGATAATCCTCGATGGCATTCTGCAAGCCCATCGAGAGGGTAAAGTCGCAACTTACTCCTGCGATGGAGTTCTAAAAGGCTACCGTAAGAGGTAACGGCTCTTCTACTTATCTTTTCCTTATTCATCCTCTTCGTTGATCCTCGATTCATAACAACGGGACTAAGCCTAACTTACAAATTTAGAGGGCATCGAGCCACCCACTACCAGCCACTCTATAGGATATAAAATCTATAGGAATTTTTGAGAGGCTAATCTACACCTTTCCTTCATTATGCTATTGCGCAGCCTCGGCGAGAGAGCATCTTAATCGTTCGGCTTAATATCTTTTTCGCCAACGCCAAGTGGCGGATTCATTGATAGATCGACTTGGCGGTAATCGAGAAGCATTCATTTCCAATATCAGAATTTTCATTTTCATTAATTTTTTTTTCTCTTCTAACGCATCAAGGGTTATTGGTCTTCAATTCATGAAGAATTAAAAACAAAATAGACTTGATACATTAGCTGTGAATTCTTTCAAAACATTTGTTGTATTATTATATTATAATTACTAATCTCTTGTTACCTTATGTCAGAAAGGTGGTAAAATATTTTTAATCGAAATCGGTATCAAACGATATTTAAACGGAAATATAAATTAATGTGTAAAATAAAATTAATAAGTATTAATATAATAAAAATTCAGCATACGGATAATCATAAATATATTGTTGTTCCCACATTTTATGATACAATGGCGATTATGTGAAACATTATTTAAAGATTTTAAAGATTAAAATTACGCTGCTTATTGCTGTTCTTCCTGGCATTATTACATTTTTTAATCATTTAAAAAATATTAAATATATTAGCGTATATAATGACACCATACATATCAAAAGCCTTTAGTTAGTAAAAAAAAAAAAGAAAAAACAACAGCTTCGATTTCAATGTATTCATAGTCATTTAGTTTTTGCAAATACTACCCGTTTACTTTTTATATCAATTCAAGCTAATAAATGAGCGTATGTTTATAATAATAACAATCGATTGCTTTACAAACTAATTCTAATAAATTGTGAATTTTTCCTCTATTTTCTGCAAAAATATTCGGTTCGCTTATTAAGTAACGTAGAGAATATTAATGGAAAAGAAACTTAATTGGCTTTAAATTTATAATAATTATCGAAAAGAACTAAAGCTTTTGTAATATTTATTTACACATCTAGGATAAAATAATTTTATTATTATTTTATTTTTATTCTTTTTCAATTTGTGATTTTATTTAATTTATTTTCAAAAACATATAATATAATATACAAAATTGAAATATAAATAAATTTATCTATAATATTTAATCACACAATTATGTAAAATAAAATGCTATTATGTAATATATAATATAATCGATAATTCAAATATATTAAAAATAATTCAATCGTTCGACTTATTTAAGTAACAAAATTTAATTTCGGATAAATTATTTATAATATTACTCGATAAAAAAAAAAACTATCACTTTATTTATTTTTATTTTTATATATGACATAAAAATTTAAATAATATTAATTCAAATCTAAAATTAAAAATAAAATAATGATTTCAATAGCAATTAAAAATAAGTTGTTATTTAAATATTGTCAAATATAATATTCATTACAATGGAGATATAATATATAAACTAATTATTGGAATTCTACCAATTAAATAATACTTATAAACGAATATTAAAAATTAATGCCAATAAGTTTATTCTTATGTTTAGAATATATGTTAACAACCTATTAGTAAATTAAAAATATTCTTACAACTTATCTTGGACATACCAATGAATATATGTAATAATGTAAATAACAGAAAATTAAAATAGTTTTTTTTAATCTATAAATAAAAATAATATTATCTGTTAGAGAAATAAATATCAAAATTATTTATAAATATTTTAATAATGAAATGCCCATTTACAAAGATCAACAAAGTTTTACAAACATAAGATTTATGTTTTAATTTAGAGAAAAATATCTCTGAAAATAGTACAATTGCTACACATAGAGAAAAATTTTTTATCATTTCTAATTCTATCTATTTTTCATTTATTTTTATTTATAATTGCCAAAAAAATATAACATAATATAAGTTTGATATAAAATAATATTAAATAATAAACTTTTTGAATTTAAAAAATACAGAGTAATCAAAATATAGTCAGACTTTTATTATATATAAATAAAAAACAAATTTACTATAAAAGTACAGTATTTTTGTTTAAGGAGTCACTTATTGTTTACAGCATATTTAACATTAGTGTAATGAGTAAATGGAATTTTGTAACAAACACTTTTCTCAATAATAAACAGTAGTTCCTAATTATTTTGTATTAAGAATTTTACAAGAAAGTAACGACCTGTCATTTTTTAATATTAGAAATCCTAATGAAATATTAAATTGCGAAAAGCATTAGAATAGCATGAATAGTTAAAGTCATTAAAATGAAAATCACGTTACTCATCTTATAAACGCACATTATGTAAATTTTCAATAGTTCTTAATGTCTCTTTCATGATAAGCAATCGTTTATATCAATCGATATCCGATTTATTATTTAAAAAATATTATGGAAATGGAATATTATAGAAAGTATGATTAATTTTTTTTCAATTTAAAATACATTGTGCCTGTTGAATTTTTAATTCACTTCAACTTTATTTGCGGAGAAATTTTTTTTTATTATTATTATTATTTATAATCATAAATTGTTGTTAGATTTCAATTTAGTCCTAGCAGTTCAACTGTTGACGAGCTTTTGGAATGCTCATTTGCTCGAATTTTTGCAAACATTATGAGTTTTAATCAAACTGATCATTCCTACAGATAATTCTTATTTTCTAAGGTATCAAACGAGTACATTGTTAATGACAATGTAAATTTATAATTTTAATGTCACTTAATTTACATTGAATTAATACAGATAAATCGATTTTGGTTTAAAAATGATAAAAATTTAGCATTCACCAATAATTATGTTACATTTTCAATCCTTGTCATTGTTTTGATATAACTTTGACTTTATAAATATAAGTGAAATAAATGAATTATATTAATAGATTTTTCTTATCCAAATGGATTGAATTTTTCATAAGTTCATTTGGTAAAATACAGTTCCAAATATATTTTTACAAAGTACGAATTTTATTATTATCACTCTGATATAGGATTTTGCCTATATCATTTATGAAGGCGAAGAACTTATAGTTTTAATGAATTATAAATAATGATGACCCACGATAAGTATGATTAAAGAAAAATATAAATAATAAAAATAAATGAAGAAAAATAAATCCATTTTCAGTATAGATATTCAAATACTGCTTGCAACAATGAATTTAGCCAATCTCATAAAGAAGTTCAAAATTGCCACCGACAAGACTGTTTCAACAAAATTATAAAACAGGAAGCGTAAAATAGATATATAAATAGGTATAAAATCAAGTATGACTATTTCAACCAAATGCTTTTAAATTCGATCAAAGCAATAAACCTCTGAGGCCATAAGCGACCACCAAGCATATACATTTCGATAATTATTACTTTTACGGAAATTATCCTTTGTTCTTTTTTTTTTACTCACATTGATCAATACTTGATTAAATCTATTATAGTCTAAATTATATTTGCTATTAGAGTA